GAATATGTGAAGAAAGGCTTTGATACAGCATTTACAACACAGGAAAAGTAAAAAATAAAACTAAGAACAAACAAATAGGCTAAATAAATAAAAGGTAGGCCTAATTGTGGACGCAGTGTGGAGGGGATATTCGTCCTTAAATGAAAATAATTACATTTGCAGGGTGAACGCGCTGCTTGTGCCTGTTTTCTGTCCAACCACGTGACCGATGGTTGAGCTTCCACCCCGTGACGTGGGCGCGTAAACACTGGGAAACAGGAGGGCAGACCCGGGCAGCCGCTGCAGCCTGAGCCGTCGGTTGTGTGTCCAGCTTCCGCCGACAGAATAATGATCCTTTTGTGATCGATCAGAGTGGTGATCAGCCGGTGATCGGATCAAACGATAACAGCGTGTGTTGTGTGCGCGTGTGTGCGTGCGTGTGTGTGGTCGGGCCTCGGGCGGAGGAGAGATGCGTTGCCAGGTAACAGAAATGACAGGACCGAGGAGGAGGACAGGCCATCAATAATCGATATCTTCAGCTTAAACGGTCCAAACCTTTCAATATTTAATCTTAATCCATCTTTTGGTCAAGTATTTTATTTCTGCAACTGTTTTCACTGTGTAGCCGATTAACACGCCAATATTAGTTGTGTTTTTTTTTTTTAGCGAAACAATAAGCTTAAATAGCTCTACAATCTTGGTCTGTAATAACTACGTGGTATTTAATGGTGCGTTTAATGTGACCTACTTTTTATTTCATGCTAATTTGTGTAAAGAAATTAAATATTTTAACGTTATTTTAATTTTCAACGTCCATGACATTGCAATATTGCACTAAAAATGTAAATGCTCCGTATTTGTATAGCGCCTTTGTAGTCTTTCCGACCACTCAAAGCGCTTTTTACACTACATCTGCATTCACCATTCACACACATTCATTCACTGAGCCTAAGTGCTCAAACGGAAACTAACATTCACACACATTCATACACTGGCGGAACAGCCGCCAGGGGCAATTCAAGGGTTCAGTATCTAGCCAATAACGTTATAAGCTATATATATATATATATAAGCTTATAAAGTTAAAGGCTATTCCTGAGTAGCTGCAGCAGATCAGTGATTGGCTGTCTGAATTGTGTTCATGCTTGTATCTGCAAAATAGCAGCCTAATAGGCTTACTCTGTATGCTCATACAACATAACAGGCCGCGCGACAGACTATTCAATCCTATTCCTATAGGGCAGGCTATTGAAATATTATGGGAGCAGGAAGCAGCAGCCTACTATTACTGAAATCCCAGAGCAAAAGTGGTCCATTAACTTCAGTGTTAGCAACCTCTAAGGTGTTCTTGCTAGAAATATTCAACTTTAAAGGATATTAAACAAGGGAAAAACTTTAAAATGTGTAAAATTTTATACTATAGTCCTGAGGTCACTACTGTAAGGTAAGGTTACATCACAGTTCAGTTTTGGTGAATTTTGGCACACACACAATATATGCTGCAGCTGTATGTCTGTTGACCAATAACAAAGCTTATTTAACTTTGTCGACCTATGGAGATATTATTGTAGTCTATGTTTAGCCAGCTATAGTTGGTCAATATCACATTTGGGGTTTTAGTCTCTTTTTTTCTTTTTCTGAAATAATACATATTGTAAATATTGCAGTCTTTAAGCAAACCAAGTCTAACAAAATGTACTAAACCATAATGAACCGGATCAAATAAATCTAGACAACATGTTCCGGGTGTTTAATAGTTTTACCTTTCATATCTGTGTGCATCTTGTTTATCTGATTTATGTGTGTTCTATTGTCTTTGCACTTGTGAAAGCACTGTGTCTGTGTATAACAAACACGTTCTTTTTAGAGAAGTTAGAAAAACACTGGTAAAACTAGAAGGTAAAATGAGAGAATTGTAGTAAATTGGACATTTTATACTTAATATTATGACAGTGGACCTGTTTCACTTTAATAACCTGACTGTTTGTCTGACAGGTGTGGCCTGTGGTTTAGGATGTGCCTGTAGTCAACGCTGAGGGTGAAGTAGCCGTCATGCCGTGTTCGTGTGCAGAGTGGAGGAGGTGGATCCGCCCCCTCGTTCTGGTTCTCTACGCTCTTCTGCTGGTGGCTGTACTGCCACTCTGCATCTGGGAGCTGCAGAAAGACAAGGCACACCTCCTTCTTTATCACCTCTGCCCAGACCAACTGTCCCTTTGACCACAAGCAGATAGAACCTCACTACAGCGGTTACAGCACTCAAGAACTATACAGCTTAGGAAATATGTGCTGCCAAATGCTGTCTCTCTCTGTCTCTCCAGGTTGGGACTCACAGTAAAGCCTGGTTCATAGCCGGTGTGTTCGTCTTTCTGACCATCCCGATATCACTGTGGGGGATCCTGCAGCACATAGTGCACTTCACCCAGCCTGAGCTGCAGAGACCGATCATCAGGTGGACACACGCACGCCTTTAACCTTTTAAGTTACTTTAAAGCAGTGGTTTTCTGTCACATCCCCCTTCAGAAGCCACAAAAAGTTCATGCCTTCTCACCCCCAGCAAAAGTGGATTTAATTTTGAGCACTTTAGTTTGTTTATGTCACCACATGAATCATATTCATGCAACATTAGGTCCTTTCAACCTCCACGACCCCCCTGAAGTGGCTCTACGCCCCCCAGGGGAGCCTGCCCCCCAGTTTGAGAACCACTGCTTTTAAAGTGACTAACAACTCCTTATACCTAAACAACAAAACAGGTTAATTGTCTGCCTAATGTTGTGAATTTGTGGCAGTTTGGTTGGGTTTAGACAACAAAACTACTTGTTTTCTGTGTGTTTTGTACCAGATTGTAAACATCAGCAATATGACCAGAGTTGTAATGAATTTCACCTCTTTTAAAATTTTCCCCGCTTCTGGAAGAAAGAGTTGACAGCCTACTGTGCAAGTCGAGAGATGTTGTTCATTGACAAATTGACAAACATCATATGTGTAATTCAGGGCACAAATCAAAAACATGTGTTGTCAGTCCCAGTTGACGTACATATTTTTTCCATGGGGCAGAAGGGAGGCCTAACAATAAGAATAAATATGGGTCGTAATATGCTGCTTCCCTTTATTTTTTATTTGGGGTGAGGACAGGCTGAAAAGAACAGATCACTTCGATACAAACAGAGAAGAAGACCAAAAAAACAGCAAGTCTTGTCCACAGCTCCACCTCAGCTCCGGTTCAAACTGTTAAATGTAACAATTGAACATAATTTTATAGCTTTAAAGGCCATAAAAACTATTTTGCTTTTTATTATGAGCAATGAGCTCCCATGAAAACACAAGATTTTCTGCCAAAGTTGGAACAATTTTTTGTTCTTTTACATGAGAGATTTCTGTGTTTTGCTTTTCTCACTAGTTGGAAGTGGGCAGGGATCTGTGCAGCAAACAGGATGTAGCAACGTCTGATTCAAAGCCAGAGTTTTTAAGTGTTCATAAATATTACCAGGATGAAAAGATGTCACACACACACACACACCACACACACACCATAGTGGCTTCATGAAATCAGCCTCTCTTCTTCTCTGTCTTTCATCACCAGAATCCTATGGATGGTGCCAATCTACAGTTTGGACAGTGTGAGTCATAAGCACACACACACACACACACACACACACACACAGGATGTGATCTGTCCACTCTATTACATTATGTTGCCATGGCAACAGACCTTAATTGGAGACAATGGGTCACAAGACCAGAGGTCACGTTAAACACACCCGTCTGTAATGTAAAAATACTCCTCAGTAACATAACCAGGTTCTTTCTTTTATTTTGTTTCTTTACTTTTATTTTGTTAAAGTTATTCTTTCTTTCTTTCATCCTTTCTTGTTTTTGTTGTTTGGATGGCTTCACTTTTCAGGCCCGGAGGTTCCTGCTTGGTTTTAGCGTATAAAAAGTAATCTCTTTCTCTTTTTCTACTTCCTCTCTCTTCTCCTGCCTTCTGTTCAGTGGCTGGCTCTGCGGTATCCCAGTCTGGCCATCTACGTGGACACATGTAGGGAGTGCTATGAGGCCTACGTCATCTACAACTTCCTGGTGTTCCTGCTGAACTTCCTCAGTAACCAGTACCCCAGCCTGGTGCTCATGCTGGAGGTCCAGCAGCAGCAGCCACACCTGCCCCCGCTCTGCTGCTGCCCGCCGTGGCCCATGGGAGAGTAAGAGGGCAGATCACTGTATGATGGATGTGTGGGTAGATGGATGGATGCTGATGCTAAAGTTTTTCCTGTCTCTTTCTCCGTCAGGGTGCTGCTGTTCAGGTGTAAGCTGGGAGTCCTCCAATACACTGTGGTTAGACCTGTAACCACGGTGATAGCATTGTAAGTTTCCTACTGTAACCACAGGGTTAGCTAGTATTGTCGTCTTACTTGTGTATAAGGGCCCAAACCACTCTAGTTTTTTCTGTGTAAACACTATAGAGACTTACCTACAGTAATTATAGTAGTGAACTATTTGTAACATGTAACTGAATAACTGTGTAGGTGTATGCTAACAGTTGCTAACTGTAACCATGTAACCATATTACTACTGTTAATACTGTAAACCGCAGCAGCTACTTGCTCTGTTTTGAGGGTTAAAGTTCATGACTAGTTTGACTTATACATAAATACTCTATGAATAAACTAAATGCACCAAAAGAACAGCAAAATGACAAATATGTGTATGAAATGCGACATCAACAGCATAATCAAAATTGAACAAGACCCTTTTAAATACTATGTGTCATACTGCAAAACAATGGGGAAAAAATTGTTCAATCTGATAAGCTGAATGTTTCCTGTATTGTTTCCTCTTCTAACTGCAGGATCTGTCAGCTCTGTGGGGTTTATGATGAAGCCAACTTCAGCTTCAGAAACGCCTGGTCCTACCTGGTCATAATCAACAACATATCACAGCTGGTAAAGGCACATCACGTACACACACAGAAACAACAGGATTGTGCACTCACTAACTATCCTTGTCAGGACCCTTGTATTCATAATAAAGGACATTTAGACAGTGGGACAGCCTCTTACCTTAATTTAAACCCAATTTTACCCTTAAACTCAATCTTTTAACAGCCATTAGATACTGCTGTGTGCTGTTAGAAACCCCCTAGTTTACTCAGTACGTACTGATTCGGCTGAAGTGCAGCGTGCAGTATGCATGCTTTGACATACTACATGTATTTTCAGTTGCATTATGGGAATCCTGAGTACTTTAGCACTTACATTTCACAGTTTGGGACAGAGCTCAGGTGACATTTGTGTTCCTGATTGGCCTGTAGGGTTCTGTATCATACATAGGAGACAAAATACTGTATAATCTGCTGCCACCAGTGTTAAGTGTATGTTTCTCCCTCTCCAGTTTGCCATGTACTGTCTGGTGTTGCTGTACCGAGCTCTCAGAGAAGAGCTGACCCCCATCAGGCCTGTGGGCAAATTCCTCTGTGTCAAACTGGTGGTGTTCGTCTCCTTCTGGTAAGGAATGAAGGATTGTCTGCTTTGCATCATTGTAAATTTAATACACAAGATGCTCTGGGGAACAAGTGGTGGTCTTCGGACATTTTATATACTGTTTAACACTTAATTAACTAATTGATAATGTAAATAATTGTCAGTGTGCTGCCTTTGTGCTGGTACATTTATCTCCTCTTTTCTCTCTTCAGGCAGGCTGTTTTAATAGCGTTCCTGGTGAAGGTTGGTGTGATCTCCGACAAACACACCTGGGATTGGGATAGTGTCGAGGCCGTTGCTACTGGATTGCAGGTACAAAAACCAGTCATGTGACCTTTAAAATTGCCAGAGGAGTTAAATTTCTCCTATTTACAGCAGAGAACAGAAAATATCTGTTGATGGATTTATTTTTTTATTCCCATCAGAGTCTGTTGTCTCGTTCTGTTGTATTCAGACCTGTTTTAGTAAATACTTATGTTCCTGGCTCAATGAAATATGTGACATTTGGAAGAACCACTGATGTTTACAAATGAGTTTTTATTTAAACCAGATTCTTGATTAACTGATTGTTTAATTGATACAGGACTTCATCATCTGCATAGAGATGTTCCTGGCTGCCATCGCTCACCACTACACCTTCACCTACAAACCATACGTGCAGGTAAACATCTATCTATCTATCTATCTATCTATCTATCTATCTATCTATCTATCTATCTATCTATCTATCTATCTATCTATCTATCTATCTATCTATCTATCGATCGACTGATCTACTCTCTCTTTTCCCGTCCAGGAAGCAGAGGAGGGATCGTGTTTCGACAGCTTTCTGGCCATGTGGGATTTCTCTGACATAAGAGCTGATGTCACAGAGCAGGTCCGCCATGCTGGTAAGTGTCTCATTCAGATTATTGATTAGTGAGTCTGTTAAACTCAATAAAGGGAAATCTTTTCACACAGTTAGTTTGTTATTTAAAGAGATTTGAGTTAAACACCTTCTGCGCCTTTTGGGTGGGGTTACTTCCATGAGGTTTTATTTATTTAGTTTTCAATGAAATTACTTATTAATAAATAAAGTTTTCATTGCCTTATTGACAATGGACTCAAAACTCACTCAGAAATGAAGCACATGCCTGTTTTCTCTGTTGCTTGCATCAGCCACTATTCTGCTATAAATGTGAGGACACCGGGTCGGATTCAGCGCTGTGTGCGCTCCCGAGCCTCCTACAGCGACAACACGGCAGCTAACGACATGTAGTCTACTAACACCATAACACAATTGGCTCCCAGTGTAGCATGGCTAAATTAGTTATGAATTTTAATAAATTTATGAGAATTAATACCCAATTATGAATTTTAATAATTCATAACATCTAAAAAATATTCCTCGTTTCAGGGCACCACCGGAGTTGTTATAATCCTAGAGTCTCCACACCTCTAGGTAGCTTTTAATAATTGTACAATTATTACTAGTGATCAGTTAGTTAATAATCGCTAAATTATCTTAAATCAATCAGTCAGTCTCATATCTAAAGGGTTAATTCTCTTGGCAGGGACGTGGAAATAGGCAACACACACAGTTTCCTGATTACAGTGAATTTATTAATAACTAAAGTTAACTAAAGCGATATAAACGGGTGGTTAAATACAGGGAAATTCTCCGGGGTCCTCCGTGTCTGAAGAAACGCCGTCCTCCGTTTGGCAATTCGGCTGTTTTCAGGTTTACTTTGTTGCCGCTGGCGAGACCACGTGTCTTGATCTGACCTCGGTGAAGTTGGCTCGACGAACAAGCTTAAAATGGAACTTGGTCGTTCCTGAATTAGTCCAGTGTAACTTAATGGACTGATAACTTTAACAAAACAAATGCTGGCAGGACTCTTAGGGCATTGCCTGGAGAGGCACACCGGACGTGTGCCGAAGCGTCCAGAGAGCAGAGCGGAAGGCCAGGGCACGAGGGGAGGAGAAGAGCAAAGAGCGAACAAAGTTGCGTGTTGATCTTTTGTTGCCTGGGACGTGGTTCCCCAGAGGGCGTTTCAGGTTTCCCGAGGGACTGCCTTTCTAAACTTAATGTCTAAAAGAAAAGAAATCTATTTGCGCGTATTATAATCAAATATTTTCCACAATCAAACCTCAATGGTCAAACAGTTGTACCGTTCTAAGTTAAGCATTTGGTAACAGGAAACAATTGTCACATTATTGGTCAGGATATTTATACATTAATGGCATAGCACTTAGAGAAAGCAACTTTTCCACCCCCCCTTCCGTTGGGGTCTCTTCAGCAGTCTGTTGAAAGTTGATCTTTAACCCCCCTGCTCCTCTCTGGGAGAGGAAAAGAGGGATTTGGAGTAGCTCCAAATTTATTCAATATAAAATGCACAAATCCACACTGTCGTCCCACTAAACCAGCAAAACACAGATTCCACAAAAGGATACAAAACAACAATAAAGGTTTCTGTGCCGAAGCCCATCAGACCAAACATGTTTTGATGATGTTGAGTAAAAACACAGTGAAACACTTGTAAAGCTGGAGAAAGTCACGAGCAGTTGCTAACATTATCTGGTGCAAAGTTGTAACGTTATCGCTTTCCACATTACTTCACCAACTAATGCAACGCATAAAACTATCCTGTGTACCACTGGTATTATGTCAAATTGTTGATTTAGCCTGCAAGAAATTATGTAACGTTACAAAGCAAATGTGGAGCAATTTGTTTACTAACGTTAGCCTATAGTGATGCAGGCAGGGCAGCCAGCTCATGCTACAGTTGCTCGGACCTGCCGCTTTTTGCTTCCTAACGTTCAATTTAGATTTATTGTGGTTTTACCGATACTCGGGTACACAGCTTCTCCACCTCTCGCTCGCTGTAACTAACGTGACCCATATAATATACAACACTGCAACAAAACAGCGACAGCAACATAGAGGAAGAGCCATCTACCAACACTACAGTAAAGTTACTTACTGACTTGCGGTCTGACTGTACAACAATGTTGTTGTAATATTCAATCCAGCTCACTAACCGTTTCATTATCAACCAATACATTTAGCTGTGCTGACATTACTGAGCCACTGGGGAAAAATACACAAATAGTAAAGATAGTTACTGAAAGCAGCAGGCAAGCAAACGATGTAGCACGTCGGCTAAATGCAGTAAATGTAACGTGATCATGTAATGAGAATGGATTAGTTTAACATCAAGCTGATAAAAATATTACTGTAACGTTGCACTGGGAGTTTACCTGAGTTTCCAGCATGTTGTGTTAAGCTGTCTCCCGCTGTGTCGTTAGCTGCTGTAACACTTTCTTTTTTTCCTTTATTGACATTCAGTAGTCTTCATTTAACTAATTAATGTAAATTAACATAATAGAAGTAGTGTATATTTGGTTTTTTGTTTTACTTTATGAATGTGCATTTTATTTGAATATATTATATTGCTAATGAAATGGATGTCTGGTTTTGGTTGTGTCTGAATCAGGACACTGCTTAAAAACTATAATATCCATATGCAGCTGGTAAATATATCTGACCCCCCTTCAGGTCGGACGTTCCTGGGTCGTCCCAACAAGATGTACTTCGGTGCTGTAGCTCGACCTGAACACACCGAGCACACTGGACTCCTCACATCGACCTCCCAGGACCCCGTTGCTGTGGCAGCCACATCGATGCCCTCCTCCCCTTCTTCGAGTGGGCGGTACCAAGGCCTCGGCCACACCCCCGCCCCACACTCTATCTCCGCCCCTGCAGGCTTCACGTCCTCGTCCTGGGAGGACGACAGCGACAACTCATAGCTAGGGGTGGGAAGTTTAATCTTTCGGTGCATCCCTTAACCCCTAGTTTTAATGTGCTTCATGACAAATAAACTCTCAGATTCTGTACTAAAGTCAGAATAAAAATATAAACGTGGACTTGTTTCCGCATTTGTGAAAAAGAAGTGAATTTACAGATGGATTTTATCAAGACTAATCAAAGGAAATAAAGCAGACAAGAGAAGGAGTTTGCACTCTGCAAATGATGAAGCCATGTTCGTTGAGAAATGTATTTTTAAAATAATAACCCAGTTTTAAATGTTTGAAATCTGTATTTTGATGTTATTTTGATAAATGTGTCTCTCGCTGTCGAAAGGATATTTTTTGTTTCATCTGAAGAGGAAGCAGGTTGGTCTCTTGGTTTTATGTTAAGAGTGTTAAGTAAAATAGACTGTCTGTTAATGTTTTTTGGCGTATGCCATTTTTGGCTTTTGGGCGCACCTACACTTTTAGTGAGGTTTCTACACTGTTTCATAAATGAGACCCCAGCTACAGCAACCTTAAAAGGTCAAAACCAAAACTCATACTCTCTCTATATATCTATAAAGAAATTTATAGGAAAGTTTTAAAATTCAACTTCACATGTGAAGGTTGTTCATTTAAAGGCTCACATTGGTTTTAGGAGCTCCATTGATTTTGGCCTAACATCTTATTATTTCCTTATGACACTAGTTTGATGAGCAGGAACAGCTATATGTAGCCGTTTACTTCCAAAACCATTTTATTTACAACTCTTATATATGAAGTATAGCAATGACGCTGCTGAATAAAACTCAGAAAGACATGGTGTTTTGGGAAATATGACTCATATAACCTACAGTCTGTATAAGTGAACTTTCCCCCCATAATCTGGTGTTAAAAAAGCAAACAAAAGTCAGAATAAATACTAATATTGAATCACAATACTTGTAGAATAACAACTGCAGTTACTTCAGCGCAGGTTTTTTTTTTACTGAAGACATTTTGACACAGGAAGAAAAACACTGGTGAGATAACACATTTATTTATCGCTAAATGTCATTTAGCTGTTTCAGTTTCAAGGTACTGGTACTGTACAGAATTTTGTGTGACACCCCTGCCTAAAGCACAGGAGGTCATCCTTGATAAACACATTGAGGAACTTAAAATTAGAGACTCACTCTGCTTCAATACCAACAGTGCAAAGGCTCCTCAGGAACAAGAGGAAACAAGCTGCTGAGACCAAACTCACTCCACAACGGCTGTTCAACGGCTGTGGTTTGCGCTTCAGAATCGGTTTCAACAGGAACAAGGTAGTATTAGTTGAAGCTGTCCGCCCATCTGAAAAACTGTAAACTAAAAACTGAAAAACAACTGACATATGTTTAATGAAAGAGGAACAAGTAGGATTTAAAGGATTTTTGATGAAGATAAGTAATCGTTTAATATTTAAGTTAAGCTGAAATCAATAAAAGTTAAGCTGGAATATGTAAAAGCATTATATGGTAAGTCCTCTGCTTTGTTTCTTTGTGTCATATTGTTATGCAGAAAAACATTTCAGATCATTTACAAGAATTACAATTTATTGTCAAAGTATGTTGACACATGTAAGGAGGAACAGGCCTATGCAGCTAAACAAAGACACCAAGCTGCAGAAATATAAGCAAACTTAAATATAGAGCTATTAAGAGAGCATGCAGTGAAAATGATGCTGGAGTAAATATTGTATTCAAAATAAGTTACTCTTATGTTCATCACTGTGCATAAATGAAAAATGAGAGGAGATCATTACACACGCTTTTAATCTAGCATTGCTGTTTAAATTGCATTCAATGATTTTGTCCCATGTTGGTAGTAACAATAGCTTTGCTTAGATAGGCAGAGGGACATAATCCATAAAAAGTTATTGTATATATAATAAAATTTGTTTTTAACTTGCATTTCATTACACAACCCAGTGCTGTAAAGTAAGAGGAAGTATTCATGATCTTTACTTAAGGTAAAGAACTCGTACTGCCTAAAGGAAAATAATGCAAGTGTAATCAGGAAATTTTAAAGTAAAGTAAACGTTCTGAAAGGGGTTTAATGTCCCCTGTGGCTGTTGATATAATATATCATTTGACTTGTATTCCTCATGCAGAAATGAAGGATTTTGCTGTTGTAGTTGTTGAGGTGAGCTCATTCTGAGCTTTATTGTAACTGGCTGCAATGAATGATTTTTCATTATGTGTCAACCTGCTGATTATTTTCTCCATTAATCGATTGATTGTTTTGTTTGTTAAAATTCTGAAAATAGTGGTGAAATGCCATCAGTTAACCAGAGCCCAAAGTGACACATTCACACTGCTTGTTTTGTCCAACCAACTGCCCAAATCTCAACTTATTAACAATACAATAAAATTCAAAAATAATTATTGAACTAATTTAAAAGACAATCTTTTTGAGAAGTTGGACAAACATTATCTATTAATTGACTAGTTTCAGCTGTATGTGTCCATTTTCATATTGTTTTGTGTGCAAAAATGTTGATTTGTGAAGTAAATAGTACAGCTGTTAGATAAATGTTTTTAAGGTTAAATTAAGGCTTCATAGTCTCTCTTCGGGTCAGACTTTCAGACTGCAACACTTGTCTTTGTAAAAAGAAAACGACAGAATAATGTCACTAACCCTTGTCTGTCAGCTCGCTCTGCTCTGTGTTTTCATCATAAAGGCTCAGACATGTGTAAACATACAAATTTAGCTGTGGCTAGCTGACCGTGTTCTTACAAATGACGGCTCACTTGACCACAGTTCTATGTCTGTGCATGCTGCAAACTGAAAACTTGCTGCAAAAAGTGTAGGTCAGAGCTTCCACATGAAACGGCTGCAGCTCACTGAAGGAAGCCATCTCTTGTTCATGTGTGCATGTAGAGTCGACCTCTGTCTGCCTGACTGATCAACCAATAGGCGGGAAGTTTACCTCTTAAGACGCAGCCCCTCCTCATTCCTAAAGAGCAGACAAATAAAAACCTTTGGGGAAATAAATAGGGTAGAAAATGCAAAGAAAGAATAAAACAGACAAAAAATATTAAAACAAACACATAAATACATTTGACAAAAGTAATTAATAAATAAAGTTGAAGATTATAAAGTACATTAAATAAATAAGGTAACTTATACAAAGATGAAGAAATAAAGAAATTAAAAGAAATATATCAATATCGACATTTTTTTTTTGTATTTTTGGTGCATTGAATAGGATGTTTATTTATTGAGCATTTTTTAACTTCTGTATTAATTTTCAATTGTGGCAGACACGGCCCACCTTATTTACATGTATGTATATAAATAACTACATTTTATTTTATTAACTTGATGCCTTAGGTGACCTGCCTTTTTAAATAAAAAAAGTAAACAAACAGTTATGAGATTTTCATGTTTATATTATTTGTTTTATTTAAACACACAAATGCAGAAAAGGTAGAAAAACACATATCATAGCACACACGATAATCCTGTATGAAAAGAAGGAAATGCATTTACTCTAACCACCAACACCAGAAGAAATAATATAGATACCCAGAGGAGTAATGCCACACCTATTAGTGTACTTCTGAGAAAAACATTCTGCCAATATTTGTTAATCTGGAACACTTATATCAGCCTAAATCCCCATAATGTATGCATGGACAGAAAGCTGAACAAGAAAATGTATCCTTCATATAAATGTCATTAATAAACATACAAAACATCATATTTATTTAACTATGTATTGTATATAATTAATGAGTCAAGGAGCTGGGGGGGCGTGACAGTAGGTCTATGCAGTTATTAGCATGCTCCACTACGTGACGCCAGTGCTGGTGTTTACAGTCTGTGATGATGCTGGGCAGAGTCTGGTCGAAACCGAAAGTTAAAAGCTGACGGGGGACTTCCATGTTTCAGTGTTGTGTGCAACCTTGACATGTCTTTGGAATCTGAAATGTCCAGAGGAAATATTTTGGATTCAAAAAGCAACAAGGAGAAAACAGGTTTTGAAGTGAAAGTAAGTAGCCTTTTATGATCCTGTGTGTTTCCGTCGGTGAGGTCGGACAGGCTGGTTGGTGTGTTGGTTGCTGTTCGTGCGAGTTTTGTTTTTAGCTGTCATGTTGTTTTCACGAAGTGCGCAGCAGTTAAAACCACGTCCACGTCAGTCTTTGGTGCAAACTTTTGACCACAAGATAAACGACATAAACCTAATAAACTCCGATATAATTATTTAAATAAGAAGTCTGCTCACGGTAGCCCTAGAGAAAGCCTATTGTAATGCTCAAGTGTTTGTAAACATTCTTTAGTGCCTTCCTGCTCATGCGCAGTCTGACCGCAGTGTGGTTGTGGTAAACGTAAAACCATAAACCATAGCAAAAACATTGAACCATGTGTTGTTAAAAGTCACGTTTTTTCTCGGCTGTGCTACAAATAAAACGTTGTTTCAACAGCATTCCGACTTTTATCCAAAAACAAACGTGTTATATGCATCGCATTAGAAAAGGACAATAATAATATAACTACATACTTACATAGGGACAGATAACGTACAGGCCATAAATATACTCTACAAGGTTACGAGGTCGATTTATTTGTCATTTTTACAGCACAGGTTTTGAGATGACGTTTGTAGTTCCCTTTGTGCTACCCACCCGAAAAGCAAATTTTATGTAGAAAAAAATAAAATAAGATTATATACTGAAATAAAATAGCCTACTTTATGTAATGTAGCCTATCTAAAATTATAAAACAGGTAGAAAATAATCAAAAAAACTGATAAATATCTGATACCATGCTTACATATGTCCTTTTATTTAATTTTCAATAATTTATAATCCATTCCACATCAACTTTACTACTAGTATAAATTATTACTATTCATCATTTCACTTATGTTAATACTTTAAAATAATGTCGACATTATTTTATATTTTTATATTGATATGTTTTATGTTTATATATTTATATTTATATTTGAACTTTTAATTATTATGCTAATTCTAATACCTTGATGTACAAGTGAGCAATTGTAATAAAATAGTTTCCACTCAGGGATCAATGAAGTATTTCTGATTATGATTTCCAAAACTCTTGAAAAGTGTTTTGGCTTCTAATGGTTGTGTTTCAGCAGCAGCAGCAGTAGAAATGTCTGAGAAGAAGAAGATGAAGAGGAAGCCATCCACCTCTACCTCCAGCTCTGCCTCTTTGACATCTGAACAGCCAGTCAGCTCCTGCAGTGAGCCCCCAAACAGGTAATGTGATGTCATGACCATCACACAGTTTAAAGTTACACAATAGGCCTATATATTACATTCAGTTAAAGGCCTACAAAATCTTGCTGTGTGGTGCATTGAATTTAAAAAGTAGTATCTTACTGTGTGTATTCAAACTAATTTATACATACACATATACACAAAAATATAAACACAACACTTCTGGTTTTGCTACCATTTTTAACGAGTTGAACTAAAAGATCCATCCACCTGACAGATGTGACATATCAAGATGCTGATGCAGCATGATTATGACACAGGTGTGCCTTTGACTGGTCACTGTCTATTTCACATAGAGCTTCTAAGAGCAACATGTCTGGTGAGTATGCAAGCCATTCAAGAACTGGGATTACAGTAGTTGTGCACAGATCATTGCAACGGGTGGCCGTGCATTATCACGCTGCAACATGAGTTGATGGCAGCAGATGAATGGCTTGAAAATCAGGATCTCATATCTCAGTGCATTCAAATTGCCATCAATATAATGCACCTGTGTTCATTGTTGGTAGCTTATGGCTGCCCATACAGTAACAACAGCCACTATAGGGCACCAAGTTCACAATGTTGACATTAGCGAACTTCTGCCCACTTGATGCCCTGGACGTTGTCTGCCTTCTGCGGTACAGGGAAAACTGGGATTCATCTGTGAAGAGAACACTTTTTGCCTCCTCAAGACAGTGATGACAATGAACTACAGTCAAGTCAAGACCCTGGTGAGGACGCCGAGCGCAGATGAGCTTCCCTGGATGTACTGCAAAATTATCTGAAACGGCAGTGAAGATGACTTATGGTAGTGAAATTAATATTCAGCTCACAGGCAACAGCTCTTGTGGACATTCCTGCCATCAGCATGTGAATTACACACTCACTCAAAACTTGTGACGTCTGTGGCATTGTGTTGCGTGACAAAACTGCAAGTTGCCTTTTATTGTGACCAGACAACGCACACCTGCGTCATACTCATGCTGTTTAATTATCTTGATATGCCACATAGTAGGTGGATGGATTACCTTGAGAAAGGAGAAGTGCTCACTGACAGACTTTTAACAAATATGCAAACAAAATTTGACAGATATAAACATTTTGTGTGCAAAGAAGATTTTACTTTTTACTGTTGTATTTTTATTTTTGTTGAGTGTATCTATATACATATATAACTTTCTTAAACTTTTGTGGCGTGGAGTAAGAGTGCAGGCTATTGACGCTGTTTTCTGATAGCCAGGTATATGTACGTGAGGTGCACATAATTACAATCCTTCAACTTTGAACAGTGTAATATTGTCATATTGTTCATAATAGAGAAAAAAGCTGTATTGAGGTAATATATAAATAACTGTATGGAGTAGATATGAAAACACAAACTCTATACAGAATACAGTGCAGGTATACTGTATGTATAAAAGTAACGCTATGTACAGAATAAACAGTTGGAAGTAAATGAATACAGTGTATACACTATAGGTCAGATATACACAGTACCACTATGTCTAAGTACAGCCTCCTATAGTCACCAGCATGGCTGTAGGCTCTCATATTTAGCAGTGTCTGGACCTTTTTAAGTTTATAAATCTTTTCTCCTAACAGTTCACAGATGGGTGAAGCCAAGTCCTCGAGTCCCAGTTGTGTCTCTTTAAAGAGTGATGCATCCATGTACCAGCCGATCAGCTTTGGTGATGAGAAGTTAAAACGGTAATCTATTACTTTGTCCAGTATTAATAAATACATACACGTGTGTAGGTTATAGACAGGGTGCGATTTGCGGGGGGGGGTTCTGTATCCCTGCCACTGCTGAATAATTTTTATTGCCGTTGGGGACAAAATTCATCACCCCCTCAGAGTGATCAATGCCACTTCAATAGTGATCGGATCGATACGTGGTTTTGTAAGGGTTAAATTAATTAGAAAATGCGCTACTTTGGCTCTGATCCAGCTGCCTCTCTGTCTATAGGTAGGCTAATCACCAGGCTGAAGTCTTGCTTAATGTCCCGCCCATGGCACTGTCTGATTGGTTACAAGTCGCGAATAATAGCCTATCAACACTCACGAGACATTTGCTCCGGTGAACAGCAGAGCTGTGTGTCGAAGGGAAGGCAGCCAATAATACTGACGCTGCAAAAAACTTCACAATCTAATGATCTGTTTCCATGATGACAAACAGCCCAGTGTGCCTTTTACACCAGGCAACATGCCTGAACACACAGCTTCAGGGTTTCAATTTTGATGACACTCTTGAAAGTGACGGCTTTTAATCATTCTCTCTTCCCTTACCCTCCGTATTTATTAGGGTACGTTAATAATAAACACGGGGAGAAAACCTTTTTAAACTTTGCAATCAGTCCACAGTTCAAGAGAGGGTGGGTTATAGACATTTTCTTGGCTACTGAATAAGTTATACATACACTACCAGGGAAAAGCTTGGACACACTTAGAAATGTCCTTGTTTTTTAACAAATATTTTGTCCATTAAAAAAACATCACATTGATCAGAAATACAATACATGTAAACATTCTTAATGTTGTAAATGACTGTTGTTGCTGCAAACGGCTGCTTTGTTATGGCATATCTACAGAGGCCCATTATCAGAAACCATCAGCCCTGTGCTCCTAAAGTACATTGTGTTTATCAATCCAAGTTTATAATTTTAAAAGGCTAATTGCTCTAAGAACTTTTTTCCGTTCTTGTTCTGAGAAATTAAACTATTCCATGCAAGACACAGAAGATGCTGTGTACTACTCCCGTTACAGAACAGTGCAAACTGGATGTAACCAGAACAGAAAGAGCAGTGGGAGGCCGCGGTGCACAACTGAGCAAGAGGACAAATACATTAGAGGGTCTAAAGAAACAGACGCCTCATAGGTCCTCAACTGGCTTCACTACCAGTACCTGCAAAACAGCAGTCTAAACGTCAACAGTAAAGAGGCGACTCTGGAATACTTGCTTTCTAGGCAGAGTTGCAAAGAAAAAGTCATAAAAAGAAAAGATTAAGCACTAATCTTTATTAAAACTAATCTTTTCTTTTTATGGGCTGAGATAAGGCCTATGCAGAAACAACTGTCATTTACAACATTAACAATGTCTACACTGTCTTGCTGATCAATTCTGTGTTATTTTAATGGAAAAAATGTGCCTTTTATTTGTGTGTCCAAACTTTTCACTGGTAGTGTAATAAAATAAATTTTTCTCTTTTTACACTTGAGTAGGAAGTCCACTGCTCCCAGTCTTGTTTCGATGAAGAGTGATGCATCCATGTATCAGCCAATCAGCTTTGGTGTTAAAAGGACACAAAGGTAATTTTATTTAATGTATTCAGGAAAGAAAATATCTTGCATCTAAACACATATTAAGATTTGTTTATCAAAGATTTATAAAGAGATTGATCAGATGAAACTATGTGTGACGGAGGTTCATTCACGTTGTGCATCTCTGACATCAGCATTATGCGCCTTCATATCTCTGTTATGCAGTTTAACAAATGTAGAGTGTCAAGAAGTCTAATAAAATGTAAAATTAATTTCATCACAAACATAAATAATAATGGAATCTGGAAAGACAACATGCAACTTTCAACAAATTTACATTTTACTTTACAGTTTTAGCAGCTGTTCTGTTCTGTCCTGTTTGTTTTTTTTTAAATTGCATTTCTAACAGAAGTTTTATTTGTCGTGTAATGGTACATGTAAATAGTTGTCCAGAACTGTAAAGAACCTTCGGTTCAGTACGTGGCGTCCTTTGTTTCGGTTATAATTACTGTTAATTTAGATCAAGGTCTTAGCACATATGGAACATACATTTTATCTAGTATTCTTTCTTTTATTTAACTCCCATTTGTTTTATTATTAGTCGTAGTATTAATAATAATAATGATGATGATGATAATAACAATCAGTCATCTGTGAAGCACTTTAAACTGCCCTAGAATAAAAGGTACTCCAAGCTCCATCCAGCCCACTGAACCATCTGCGACAGCATCTCTTGAATGCATCTATGACAGGGCATCTGAGCTGCTGTCACGTTCGGCTGTAATGACCTGGCCTATTTAACCATGCAAAAGCTGTAGTCGTTCAGATGTTATCTACTACACTTTGTAAAGAAAATGAATTGTAAATTAATAAATGAAAAAATTTTAACCCCTAGGTTTATACCAAAACAAACAGTGTTGTTAATGGCTTATGTTATTTGTGTTTTCCAAGTTTAATGTTTTCAGTTTACATTGTCACTTCAATTGTGCTGCATTTAAAATATGCCTGGCCTTCACTCTGAACTCTCCCTCAGACCAAAAGGCTTCATGCCACGGGGCAAACATTGTGAAACTGACAGTGTCATTCAATTGTTCATCAGACGAGGCTCCCCCAGAGAACACGGTATCACCGTTACTGACTCACATCTGACAGCAATAATGTTTCATTTGTTTATCACCCATCAGCCAGCTGCCTGGAGAGCCGTCCAGCTGTTCAGTGTGTATGCAGGTTTTGAGGGATCCGGTCCATTTCAGCTGTGGACACTGGTCATGCAAACACTGTATCAGCTCAGACTGGGACCAGGATGATTCACCAGCAGACTACTGCTGCTCAAAGTGTGGAAAGAAACCCAGAAAAGATCACGAACAGCACACTGGTAACTTTACATATGTCCTCCATACATACCTTTAGTACTGCTGTTACTGCTACTACAACTAATGCTAGTAACAGATCAATACTTCATCATCACGGTTGGTCATCACGTATTAGTAATGTACCTTTAAGTCAATCAAGTTTCTCTCCCCAATTCTGATTATATAACTTTTTGGTGGTTTCAGGTTCCAAATTGCATTCAGACTTTAAACTCTGACTAAGAACATATATATCAGAATAATAATAAATTGACATTAAAGACATTAAAGTCAAGATTTCGTGTTTGTTTGTGCTTTTTGCATGACCTAAATAAAATTATTTGATAACCACTCATTTGTTATTGGCATGTGTTTGATTGTTACAGGGACCAGCCCCGTTTTGAAAGCCAAGAAGAATCTTAAAGAAGCAATGCAAAATAAATTTACTTTGATATGTGAAGATGATGGGGAACCAGGGACCTCCCTGAACAAAATCTACTCAGAACTCATCATCAGGACTGGAGAGAGTGAAGGGCCACATGAAGAACATTCGTTCAGACACATTAAACATAAATTGGAACGACGATCATCTTCTAAAACGTTTATCAACCTCAGTGACATCTTCAAACCTCTGCCTGGCCAAGAGAAACCCCCCAGAACAGTCCTGACGAAGGGCGTTGCAGGCATTGGAAAATCATTCGCAGTGCAGAAATTTATTCTTGACTGGGCCGAGGAGAAAGAGAACCAGGACTTGGATTTTGTTTTCAGTCTCGCTTTCCGAGAGCTGAATTTGAGTTCAGGTAACAAAAGCTTGCACCAACTCCTGACTGAATTTCACCCTGCGCTCCACGATCTGAAAGATTCAGAGGATTTCATCAGAGCCAGAATCCTGGTGATCCTGGACGGCCTGGATGAAAGCAGACTTCAGCTGGACTTTGAGAACAAGCCGGTAACATCTGTCAGTGAAGTAACATCTGTGGGAAATCTCCTTGCAAACCTCATCCAGGGAAACCTTCTTCCTGAAGCTAACCTCTGGATAACATCCCGTCCAGCAGCAGCCAATCAGATCCCTGCAGAGTTTTGGACATGGTGACGGAGATAAGAGGGTTCAGTGACCCACAGAAAGAGGAGTACTTCAGGAGGAGGTTTCATCAGGACTTGGGTCTTGCTGACAGGATCATTTCACACATTCGCTCTTCACAGAGTCTGGACCTCATGTGCCAGATCCCGATCTTCTGCTGGATTTCTGCCGTATTATTTCAGGAGAGCTTTGGGGGAGACGAGACAGCTGAAGTTCCTCAAACTCTAACAGAGATGATGGCACATTTCCTGTTTGCCCAGATGAAACGCAGAAGCAGAAAATATGACAAGAAGACTGAGAGAAACAAAGAGACACTTCTGAAAACTCACAAGGAATTTCTTCTGAAACTCGGCAAGCTCGCATTTGTTCATCTGCAGAAGAACAACCTCATCTTCTATGATGAAGACCTAGAAAAATGTGGGATTGACATAAAAGAGGCAGCCATCTACTCTGGACTTTGTAACACAGTTCTTAGGGAAGAAGACGTCTTTTCTCAGAAAAAGGTCTTCTTCTTTGTGCACCTGACCATACAGGAGTTCTTTGCAGCTCTTTTTGTCTATGACTGTTTCACAAACAAGAATACAAAAGAGCTCGGCGACTTCCTCGACCTGAAGGACAAAGAACATACTTTGCTTGATCTTCTAAAGATGACAGTTGTTAAAGTGTTGGAGAAGAAGAACGGCCACCTGGACTTCTTCCTGCGGTTCCTCCTTGGCCTCACGGTTGAACCCAACCGGAGAGTCCTTCAGGGTCTGCTGACATCGCCGGACCCAGGCCAAGATACAGACAAGAAAGTATTGACTCACCTCAAAGCCATCCGAAGGAAGACCCTCTCTCCAGACAGTTGCATCAACCTCTTCCAGACCATGGTGGAGATGAGAGATCACAAAGTCAAAGATGAGATTCAGGAATATCTGACATTGTCAGATGGTTCAAAAACAGAGCTGACTCCCCTGCACTGCTCTGCACTGGCCTACATGCTGCAGGTATCGAAGAATGATCTGGATGTGTTGGACTTGAAGAGTTACAACACATCAGATGAAGGCAGGAGGAGGCTGATACCAGCTGTGAGGAGCAGCAGAAAGGCCATGTAAGTTTAATTTCTCTGTAATATGTCAAATAATCAGGTGCTTATTTAATTTACTCTGTGTAGTCTAAGTTGATCTTCTTCTCAGACGGCATACATTCCCAAGAAGCTCCACTAATGAGATTGTTATGGCAGCCTGTATGTTGCCTGGTGATAGGTCCAATGAAAATTACATGATTTTTCTTTACAATCCTATTATCCACCCTCAGACTAGCAGACTGCAAAGTGACTGAAGAGTGGGTTGAACATCTGGCTTTTGGTCTCAAGTTCCCCTACTCACCTCTAAGAGATCTGGATCTGAGCAACAATGACCTGAAAGATTCAGGAGTGAAGCTGCTCTGTGATGGACTGTCGAGCCAACGCTGCAGACTGGAAATAATGAGGTATTTATTAGACGTTCATATACCAGCAACCCTGCTCATCATTTTTAGCAAACCTTCTTTACATTCATTCAGAGATGCAAGAAGAACTTTGAGTGATGTTGCTCTGAAAAGACATCTCACATCTGGATGCTAATGAACACAAACACTGTGTTTTCTCAGGTTGTCAGGTTGTCTGGTCACAGAGAAAGGCTGTGGTCATCTGGCCTCGGCTCTACGGTCCAACCCCTCCCATCTGAAAGAGCTGGACCTGAGCTACAACAATCCAGGAGACTCAGGAGAGAAGCTGCTCTCTGAGCTGAGGGACGATCCACAATACAAGCTCAACACACTCAAGTAATTAAAATGCTGGAGTAGTAGATTTTTTACTCGTCCACTGATCTGAAAGAAAAGTGCTGCTCAGCTCCCTCCACTATAGAGAGATGGAGTGTACTGCCTACCATAAAACTAGATTGTAGATAAGAGTTTTAAACTAAAGTCAAACTGCAAGAATAAAAACATATTTTAACAGATATGCAGTAAATGAGCTCAATGGATTCTACTTCTGACATTTAGATTCACGTCAAGATAATCAAGAGTACCATCAGATACTCGCATTATAGGCACTAACAATAGATACTCTATATATAGATATAGATTTACAACAGACACATCTGTACCTCTGATATTCTGAGATCAGCACAGTGTCAGGTAAATGGTTCTTTGAAAGTTTTAATCCTCATTTTTCTCCACAGTGTTGAACAGGGTGGAAGTCACCGGATGAAACCAGGATTCAAGAAATGTAAGTATCTGAAATCCCGAAGAGTTGATGAATCTTCTGACCACAATGACAAATAGCAAATTTTTATTTCATTTAATTTAAGTGAATTTCTGTTTTCTGTACTTTTTGTCCATTACATCAATAGAGCTACATAAATAAAAGTACTGCAGGCTAGTGAACAATGAGGACAGGTTACACTAAGATTAGAACAAAAATGAAAAATATCCTCTGATTGGGATAATTGAAGTGATGAACTCACATTATCTGTTGACTTGTGTTACTTTGTTAATAGTAGAGGCAAAACTGGACCATCAAACTCATCGTGGATGTCTTTTAGTGTGAAATAAAATATTTCTCACTGAGGCGTTAATAATGACAATTCTTCTGCAGGGAAGGAACTCTGAACCAGAAATATGACTTCATTTGTGTCTCATTGGAGTGATGCCCAGCAGTATTGGCTACAAGTTATATTATTACAGTCTATGTTCCTGAAGTAAAGTGTTTTCTTACCTCCAGATGCCCGTGAGCTCACTTGGGATCCCAACACAGCCCACAAGAACCTCCTTCTCTCTGAAGGGAACAGAAAGGTGACCTGGGTGGAAGAGGAGCAGCCACATCATCATCACCAAGAAAGGTTTGATCAGTGCCAACGGGTGCTGTGTGAACAGGGTCTAGACGGACGCTGCTACTGGGAGGTCGAGGTGTTGGAGCCCTTCAACATCGGGTTAACGTACAGAACCATTGGCAGGAGAGGGGAAGTGGATGATTGTAAGCTGGGACGCAACGACAAGTCTTGGTGTCTGTTTTGCTCTGAAAATGGTTGTTATGTTTTGCACAACAACAAGAGTATCACTGTATCGTCTCTGTGCTGTCGCTCCAGTCGAGTGGGAGTGTATCTGGATTGTCCGGCTGGCACTCTGTCCTTCTACAGAGTTTCCTCTGACAGTAGAGTCTGCCTCCACACCTTCAAAACAGAGTTCACTGAGCTGCTCTATCCTGCTGTTGAACTTCACATTCAGTCCTCTGCATCATTCTGTCAGCTAACATGAACTTTCACTGCATTCACAAGAGCAACACGGGTGAAGAATTGCTCATGGACAGTGAGGTCATCTCCTATAAAATCAGGAGACGTTCTTAGCAATATTTTTAGCAATCTAGACTTTTAGAAAACACACAGAGTTAACCGCTCTTATCTGTTGGTATCATGTCTAAGCAGGTTTATCTCTGCAAAAGAAGGAATATCGATGGAGAAAGATGGGAAGAAGGTATAAGATATAAAGAAGATTGACACACCAGCAGGCTGTAAACTTTGAATACAACAGGGAGTTTGAAGCAGCCCCAGGGGTCGTGGTCATCACTCTTCAACCCCCAGGTATTAAGTTTAAAAGGTTTAGCTGCGAAACTCATAATTTTAAAGTATTTATAGATTAACAAAGTCAGTAATCATGGTCAATGATGAATACATTTAGTTGCTCCGCATACTTGACAACCTCCAGAGGTCTAATAATAATAATAATTTAAACCAGGTATCTGATAATCTTTCCCCAGAAAGTTGTTTTTCATTGCATTCTAGTGAATTTATGGAGTAATCTGGAGGGTTAAATGTACAAGCAGGTGTTGAATTGTGTTAACATACATCTATTAACAGATGCTATTGTGATTTGATTTTCACAGTTGAAGCATTCATCTAGTTTGGGAACTGAGGGGAGGATTTTAATAACCAATTGTTCATTTCTACATGCTTATAAAATATTCTAAAATATTCTCAACTTAAAAGCAACACATTATGATCATAATTTCTATCATGCTTTGTTTAATCATTAAGGTAATAATTTAAAATGGTACATATATATGAGAAAAAGCTGTCTTACTTTCTGCACTTTTAACCCAGAATCTGACTGAACATCACATGCTGCCGTTTTCAAGTAAGAATATAAGCGATTGCATAAATATGGACAATGTTTATTACATTATCACAGATAATGTTCCATTATCATCTTCAATCACGATGTATAAGAAATGAATTGAAATATGAAATATATGTATATTTTAAGAAGTCTCATACAGTTTTCCTGCTTTAGTTTTTGAGGAGCTGTTGCATCTGTATATATTTGTATAAACTGCTGACTGTCCAGTATAATCTCCTTAAAACACCTATGTTTCTGTACCACACTTTATACTCTACTTTGAATTAAAAAGCATTAAGATAAGCTATTGTATTAAAATGCTTGAGAGTGACATAATAGAAAACTGGAGAAAATAGAAAAAACTGTTTGTAGGCCCTGCCTTCAGCTAACAAAGCTCACAGCTCAATATAAAGACAAACATCAGCTTCAATCTTCAGCTATCGTCAGCTTTAATTAAAACATGTTGTGTCATATCAGCCTCCATGAGCTGCGTTAGCTTTGACTTTGGACAGCAGCATCATGTATTATGTTTTTTTTCCATTTGAGTGTCCTGAATATTGCAGGTTTGTGTCGTGTTTGTTAAAGTTGTTTTAACTTTTGTAGCAGACTGTTGGTTTTTTAGCCATGTTAGCAGCAGGACTGTAGGGATGCCAATGTCCACCTCTTTTGTCCAGACTGAAATATCTCAAAACACATTTTTGTTGACATGCATGTTCCCCTCTGGATGAATTGTAGAAACTTGTGATCATCTGACTTTTCATGCAGCTCCACCATGTAGTTTCTGCTCATTTCTAAACGTTAGCAGCTATGCTTAACTAAGATGGTGAACATCACACCTGCTAAACATCAGCGCTTTGAGAATGTCGCTGATATTAGCATTTAGCTCAAAGCCTCACAGAGCGACTATAGCAGCGTGGTGCTTTACATTTAAAAAGTAGTGGTGTGAATATACACAGTAAGATACAGGTTATCTTACTACGAATAAAAGACTAGAAAGCTGGAAGTAAAGATACTGTACATAAACATCTAAAACAGTAGGTCAGATACAAAATACCACTGTGCCTAAGTACAGCGTCACAAAGCCTCGAGCATGGCTGGAGTCTCGTAGTTATGTTTTGCAGTTTCTGGACCTTTTTCTGTCTCTTTTTATTTAACAGTTCACAGATGAGTGAAGCTGAATCCTGGAGTCCCAGCTGTGTTCCTATAAAGATTGATGCATCCATATACCAGCCAATCAGCTTTGGTGATGAGAAGTTAAAACGGTAATCCATAACTTTGTCCACTATTAATAAATACATTCATGTGTGTAGGTTATAGACATGTTCTTGGCTATTGAGTAAGTTAAACGTACACTAACAGGGAGAAGTTTGGACACACTTAGAAATGTCCTTGTTTTCGAATGATAAACAAATATTTTATCCATTAAAAAAACATCACATTGATCAGAAATACAATACATGTAAACATTCTTAATGTTGTAAATGACTGTTGTTGCTGCAAACGGCTGCTTTGTTATGGCATATCTGCAGAGGCCCATTATCAGAAACCATCAGCCCTGTGCTCCTAAAGTACTATTTGCTCATTAGAAAGGCCTTTTGCAATCATGGTAGCACAGCTTAAAAACTGTTGTCCTCAGTAAAGAGCCAATAAAACTGGCCTTCTTTAGACTTAAGAACTTTTTTCTTGCAGAGTTTCACAAGAAAACTTCACAAGAAATTTTTTCCGTTCTTGTTCTGAGAAATGAAACTATTCCACGCCAGACACAGAAGATGCTGTGTACTACTCCCTTTACAGAACAGTGCAAACTTTATGTAACCAGAACAGAAAGAGCAGTGGGAGGCCGCGGTGCACAACTGAGCAAGAGGACAAATACATTAGAGGGTCTAAAGAAACAGACGCCTCATAGGTCCTCAACTGGATTCACTACCAGTACCTGCAAAACAGCAGTCTAAACGTCAACAGTAAAGAGGCGACTCTGGAATACTTGCTTTCTAGGCAGAGTTGCAAAGAAAAAGTCATAAAAAGAAAAGATTAAGCACTAATCTTTATTAAAACTAATCTTTTCTTTTTATGGGCTGAGATAAGGCCTATGCAGAAACAACTGTCATTTACAACATTAACAATGTCTACACTGTATTTCTGATCAATTCTGTGTTATTTTAATGGAAAAATGTGCCTTTTATTTGTGTGTCCAAACTTTTCACTAGTAGTGTAATAAAATGATTTTTTCTCTTTTTACACTTGAGTAGGAAGTCCACTGCTCCCAGTCTTGTTTCGATGAAGAGTGATGCATCCATGAACCAGCCAATCAGCTTTGGTGTTAAAAGGACACAAAGGTAATTTTATTTAATGTATACAGGAAAGCAAATATCTTGCATCTAAATACATATTAAGGTTTGTTTATCAAAGATTTATAAAGAGATTGATCAGATGAAACTATGTGTGACGGAGGTTCATTCACGTTGTGCATCTCTGACATCAGCATTATGCGCCTTCATATCTCTGTTATGCAGTTTTACATATGTAGAATGTCAAGAAGTCTAATAAAATGTAAAATTAATTAACAGACAACATGGAATCTGGAAAGACAACATGCAACTTTCAACAAATTTACATTTTACTTTACAGTTTTAGCAGCTGTTCTGTTCTGTCCTGTTTTTTTTTTTAAAATTGCATTTCTAACAGAAGTTTTATTTGTCGTGTAATGGTACATGTAATATTTTGTCCAGAATTGTAAAGAACCTTCGGTTCAGTACGTGGCGTCCTTTGTTTCGGTTATAATTACTGTTAATTTAGATCAAGGTCTTAGCACATATGGAACATACATTTTATCTAGTATTCTTTCTTTTATTTAACTCCAGTTGTTTTATTATTAGTCGTAGTATTAATAATAATAATGATGATGATAATAATAATAATAATACAGTCATCTGTGAAGCACTTTAAACTGCATTTAAAATATGCCTGGCCTTCACTCTGAACTCTCCCTCAGACCAAAAGGCTTCATGCCACGGGGCAAACATTGTGAAACTGACAGTGTCATTCAATTGTTCATCAGACGAGGCTCCCCCAGAGAACACGGTATCACCGTTACTGACTCACATCTGACAGCAATAATGTTTCATTTGTTTATCACCCATCAGCCAGCTGCCTGGAGAGCCGTCCAGCTGTTCAGTGTGTATGCAGGTTTTGAGGGATCCGGTCCATTTCAGCTGTGGACACTGGTCATGCAAACACTGTATCAGCTCAGACTGGGACCAGGATGATTCACCAGCAGACTACTGCTGCTCAAAGTGTGGAAAGAAACCCAGAAAAGATCACGAACAGCACACTGGTAACTTTACATATGTCCTCCATACATACCTTTAGTACTGCTGTTACTGCTACTACAACTAATGCTAGTAACAGATCAATACTTCATCATCACGGTTGGTCATCACGTATTAGTAATGTACCTTTAAGTCAATCAAGTTTCTCTCCCCAATTCTGATTATATAACTTTTTGGTGGTTTCAGGTTCCAAATTGCATTCAGACTTTAAACTCTGACTAAGAACATATAATATATCAGAATAATAATAAATTGACATTAAAGACATTAAAGTCAAGATTTCGTGTTTGTTTGTGCTTTTTGCATGACCTAAATAAAATTATTTGATAACCACTCATTTGTTATTGGCATGTGTTTGATTGTTACAGGGACCAGCCCCGTTTTGAAAGCCAAGAAGAATCTTAAAGAAGCAATGCAAAATAAATTTACTTTGATATGTGAAGATGATGGGGAACCAGGGACCTCCCTGAACAAAATCTACTCAGAACTCATCATCAGGACTGGAGAGAGTGAAGGGCCACATGAAGAACATTCGTTCAGACACATTAAACATAAATTGGAACGACGATCATCTTCTAAAACGTTTATCAACCTCAGTGACATCTTCAAACCTCTGCCTGGCCAAGAGAAACCCCCCAGAACAGTCCTGACGAAGGGCGTTGCAGGCATTGGAAAATCATTCGCAGTGCAGAAATTTATTCTTGACTGGGCCGAGGAGAAAGAGAACCAGGACTTGGATTTTGTTTTCAGTCTCGCTTTCCGAGAGCTGAATTTGAGTTCAGGTAACAAAAGCTTGCACCAACTCCTGACTGAATTTCACCCTGCGCTCCACGATCTGAAAGATTCAGAGGATTTCATCAGAGCCAGAATCCTGGTGATCCTGGACGGCCTGGATGAAAGCAGACTTCAGCTGGACTTTGAGAACAAGCCGGTAACATCTGTCAGTGAAGTAACATCTGTGGGAAATCTCCTTGCAAACCTCATCCAGGGAAACCTTCTTCCTGAAGCTAACCTCTGGATAACATCCCGTCCAGCAGCAGCCAATCAGATCCCTGCAGAGTTTTGGACATGGTGACGGAGATAAGAGGGTTCAGTGACCCACAGAAAGAGGAGTACTTCAGGAGGAGGTTTCATCAGGACTTGGGTCTTGCTGACAGGATCATTTCACACATTCGCTCTTCACAGAGTCTGGACCTCATGTGCCAGATCCCGATCTTCTGCTGGATTTCTGCCGTATTATTTCAGGAGAGCTTTGGGGGAGACGAGACAGCTGAAGTTCCTCAAACTCTAACAGAGATGATGGCACATTTCCTGTTTGCCCAGATGAAACGCAGAAGCAGAAAATATGACAAGAAGACTGAGAGAAACAAAGAGACACTTCTGAAAACTCACAAGGAATTTCTTCTGAAACTCGGCAAGCTCGCATTTGTTCATCTGCAGAAGAACAACCTCATCTTCTATGATGAAGACCTAGAAAAATGTGGGATTGACATAAAAGAGGCAGCCATCTACTCTGGACTTTGTAACACAGTTCTTAGGGAAGAAGACGTCTTTTCTCAGAAAAAGGTCTTCTTCTTTGTGCACCTGACCATACAGGAGTTCTTTGCAGCTCTTTTTGTCTATGACTGTTTCACAAACAAGAATACAAAAGAGCTCGGCGACTTCCTCGACCTGAAGGACAAAGAACATACTTTGCTTGATCTTCTAAAGATGACAGTTGTTAAAGTGTTGGAGAAGAAGAACGGCCACCTGGACTTCTTCCTGCGGTTCCTCCTTGGCCTCACGGTTGAACCCAACCGGAGAGTCCTTCAGGGTCTGCTGACATCGCCGGACCCAGGCCAAGATACAGACAAGAAAGTATTGACTCACCTCAAAGCCATCCGAAGGAAGACCCTCTCTCCAGACAGTTGCATCAACCTCTTCCAGACCATGGTGGAGATGAGAGATCACAAAGTCAAAGATGAGATTCAGGAA